TCTTGCTGGTCTATGAGTTTTAGAATCTGACAGGCTAGATAGTTGGCTAGAGTCAAGATTGGGAGAGCCAGATTGCCAATATTTGGATTGAGGATGTTGAGTACAAATATCAACTTGTCATTGTCCAGATGGAAGGTGCTGTGTATATAGCTCATCTTGGGGCCATAGACAGAGTCCATAGCATTGGTTCAATGTTAAACTTGGACTTATACTTTAGTAGATCATCAAGTTGATCTTCAGGATGCCTCCTGTTATAAGTGGAAATAGCATGTTTAATAGTGAAATATTGTAAAATATCTCACTGTTCTGAGGCATCTGCATAAATATACTTTTGTCCCATGTCTGTTGCCAACCACTTGGCATTCTGCCATAAGAACATGATCTCTTCTTTATATAGATCCTGATATTCCTTCTCTCTATTCCTTTGTATCTCCTCTTCCAAGGCTTCTTCATCCATTTCATCCTTAGTGTATTTTATAAATTCCTCCAGCCTATAAGAGCCTTCCTTGTTGTCCTCACTCTCCTTATTCTCACTGTCCTTGACAAGAGAGCTCCTGGGCTGGTCATAGATAGATGGAGCAGAAGCTTTGATGGTGACTGGCAAGCTGGTTGTTGACCTGAGTGCTTAGTCCAGCTTCATTGCTGATGAGTCAAAGAGGAGACTGATCAACAAGTCAGCCAGTGCCAACTTCAACATCTCCTCAATGGCCACTGCATGCTCTGTGTTTCTCCAACTCTTGGTGATAGATGCAGAAGTTTCTATAATAGCAGAGGTTAAGGAAGAGTGCTGCAACTCTTTCTCCCAAGAATCACTGGAGGCTGTAGTTGGAGCTGTGAGCATTGTCAGGGACTTGAAGCCTATAGACATCAAGTATAGATTTGGCATGAGAGAGGATGGTATCAGTGTTGGCAATACTGTCAGTTCAAGGATGAAAGGGATAATATGTGCATCTGGTGACTTCACTAGCAGTGATTGCTTTGGCCAACCCTGCTCAGAAGTCAGTTTCACTTCTTACTGGAGTGCTGAGCTCTCTGAATAGTGAGTCCAGGGTTCCAAGACTATACCAGATTGGGAGAGTGGATCTCCAGGTGGCAGCTTCATAGAGACACTGCTTCTGTCACCACTGTCAGTTATATCTTTCTTTTTTGTATTAATCAAAAGCTCATGCAGCTGCCTCTAATGTGGCAGTGAAGAGGGCATGATCTGTCTGTCTGTCTGTTTGATCAATTCAGAGTTCTCTCTCTGTGGTGGGCTGGGCATGAAGCCTTTCACTCACATTGATTCCAGTGGTAAGAGTCTCTCTCTATAGCTTATGTGGCTCCTCATCATTTGATCAGAGATCAGTGGCCCCATGACTACTATAGTTGGTGTAGATCAATGAGATAGAGCTCTTGGCTGATGTGGTATAGAGTGAGTTATGTCCTGAGTTTGTTGAAACACTTTGGGGTCTTAAAGCCATCTGAGAGGCATCAAGGGAATCCTGAGCATGGTCTCTAACACCAGGTTTTCTTGAACCAGTAAAAGGATTGGAGAATGGCAAGTTGTTAAAGAAGTTCTCAGAAAGGTCCTCATCTTTATAGTTCAGGACAGGGGGTGAGATCCATGAGTTTTGAAATCCTATGAGGTGATGGTTTTGGTTTCTGCTATTTGATCATCAGAGTCTAGGGGAGTATTGGTGTCTTTCTTCCTCCTGAACATCCCTTGAATGCAAGCTACTAGGCTCAGTGATGTGCTTGGTAATGGCTAAGTGACTAAGAGAGGCAAATGAGGAATGAACTCTCAAACACCAACACCTAACCACTCAATACACAATCACCAAATACAGTTGAGGCCAGTTGTTTCAAGTACAATAGAAGCACTCATGCAGTCTTAAGTAAAATCAAGGAAACAGTCAATAAAGACAGTTATTCAACTTTATCTTGCTTTCTAAGATGCAATACTCATGAGAGTAGTTTATAGCAATGTTTAAGTATAATTAGGACTTAGAATCAATGCAAAATTGAGCTCCAAATCAACTTAGAATATTCCAAAACCCAATGAACTCTGAAACTCAAATACTAAGTCTATCAAGCACTTAGACTTGACTAGCTGCACTCTTGGCTGGCTAGCAGTCCTCAAAACCAAAGAACTTATATTATGATGCTGAAACCCTTATAGTTTGGAACCCAAATTAATCCAAAACCCAAAATACAGCTATTATTCCAATCCAATCCTCTCTAAGTGACAAAGCAACTTAAATAAATCACTAAGTCAAAGCAAAACTCAAAATTCATTGTCTCAGAGACTAGCTACAGTGGGCTAAAAGGCCTGAATATAGGGGTGGGTCACTTGCTTCCTATTTTCCCCCATTCTCTTCTTTTATACATCAACAACAGATATAGAATCTATAAATAAAGCATTCAAAATAGTATTTCTCCTATTTAAAGCAGAATCACCCTATTATTCTGGAATGGTGGCACTCCTGGACTCTCCTAGGCTTGCCCAGACCCATCTGGCCACTGCACAGCTTTATTTTAAGCCTACAGTGTCTGTGGGTACCTAACTCCTTTCTGTCTACCCAGAGTTTTAATTCTCTGAGTTATTCTTAGTAGCTTGATTGATCAGGTCTGGTCAACTGGTCCTATCCACTCTATTCCTCTCAATTCTAAGTCCCTTAGGTCACCTGATACCTAGAAAATTTGGACTTAGGCATTTGAGTCAAAACTCAGAGTGCTAGCTACAGATCATTGGGTCTCTCTTCTTACTGCTCCTGGATGATGCTATCTTTACTCAATACTCCACAACTGGCTATGGTATTATGTCTCTAGCTGTCTTAGAATATACTTGTCTTAGTAGCATGTAGAATTGGCCTCATTTGAGATACTATTTCTAAGTCCAACTTGAACTTAGTATTTTCCAAGATATAGTGCAGAACTTTTCTAAGTTCAAACCTGACTTAGGATTTTTATCCTTAGGCCATGTTAGTTTTACAAAGTCTCTTTTGGACTTAGTATTGGTGACTAGCATGACTATCAGCTTGAAGCTTCAGCCATAGTCCTCTACTGGCTAATGGTCTTCAGTTACTAGCATATTCTAGTGTGTTATACAGAATTTGCAAATCATAGAGCTGGACATGTACCCTGCATATTATCAGCTTCAGGTATGGCTTCTGGTGGGGGCTGAAAGAAGACTCAGGCAGAGAGAGAGATGTCATAGAGAGGGAGGTCAGGTGTGACATTTTGTAAAATCTGCTAAATGTGCTGGAAAGCTTGATAGTGCCTGACTATCTAAGTGGTGACTGATTGTCATTCTTGGCAAAGTTGTATAATTGCCAATAGACCTAGAAGCATGCCTATGATCACTGATAGTAGTTTAAAGAAGTCATCTGTAAGATCAGGAGTTGTAGTTTGTGCAGGTGGTATTTGGTTTTCTTTGCATTTATTGTGTATAAGGAAAGAGAAGCAGAAGCTTTGAGCTAATTGTTAGATCTAAGTCACATGTAATCAAAACACATGATAAACAGATGCTATATTATATTTGTACAGTCATGCCTGAGTCTACTGATATACTTTATTGACTGTTGTGCTTTAAGGTTGTTTGTTACAATTTTTCCTATTTTCTTTTCTTTTTCCTCAGAAATGACCCCTATCTTCACTTAGTCAGAGCACTAAGGCCAGCACTTAGGACTGTGGGAAGGCTTAGTCAGCAACCCAGTCAGTCATGATCTTATTATGCTGCTGTGTGCTATGAAGAGAGAGACAATGCTCCTTTTGTTCTCAAACTGTGGTGCAGCAGTAACAGCACAACAGCAAGACAACAGCTTTTGTGGAGAGCCTGGCAACAGCAGGGGTAACAGCTCAATAACAGACAATATCTTTTGTGAACATTTATTTATAGCCAGATAACAGAACAGTATTTAAGTAGTACAGTTTTCACTGTAGTAGCTGCAGCATTAAGCTAAAGTTTATTCTCCACTATCTTATCTCAAGCTACTTGCAACACCTTGACTACACAACTCTATTGACACATCAGTGAACTCAGTCAGTCTAACCTGAAGTGTAAGGTTCTGAACTGTTTATCATATATTGATAGTCACATGGAATTTGGGCTTAACAATTAGCTTAATGCTTCTAGCTTCTCTTTCTTGATGGCTATCAAAGCACAAGAAACCGAATGCCTTCTATCAGCTCTATCAATTCTGAAGTACCCCCTTTCCCCATTGAATTGCTGACCCTTCTTCTAGGAACCCTCACAACTAAGATAATGAGGGAACATCAAATTCCTGATGTCACCTTTGACCAATTCCTCAATAGTCTCATGATTGAGACCTGAATCAATGAGTTCAGACCTGAACAGGGGTCTGAAAGCATGGGCCAATCAGATCCTCTCTAAAAGAAGGAGGAACCCCTCCTCAGTTCCCTATTCCTTCTGACCTCTGACTCTGACCCCACTAATAAGTTGGTGGAAGAACAGGAGGTTGAGCTTAGCCAGCAGTGAGGAGATGAGCTCAATAAAGAGCATCAACAGTTGGCTGGAATCAGCCAACCAGCAAAGTGGAAACCTCACCCATCAAACTGCCTGCCTCAGAACTGAAAATGGCCTGCAGGCACAGAGCAGGATGAAAATCCCAAAGAAGACCCCTATGCTCCAGATCACTGAGATCTATCTAGAGACAATCAGGATTGAAGTGCTGATACTGGATCAGCAAACACTGGTGGAGGAAGTACAGGAGGCCAGGGGCCCCTGTCAGCCTGAGGATGAAAATAGCCTGAGGACACTAAATAGAATGAAGATTCTAAGGATGACCTCTATGTGATCAACCAATAAGATAACAACACAGAGGATGGAGAAAGTGGTCCAGACAGACCCTTATCCTCTAACAAATCAGGGAGTAATGACTCCCTGTTTGACTGGACCACCAAGGCCTGAAAACCACTAACACCCCAGATCAGCAATCGAACCCTTTGTAGGTTCTTGCATAAGAAGCTTATCACTCTCTTCCTCAATTCAGACTTCTATAATGAATTCTGAAATTATGCCAAGCAAGTGGAAAGCAGAAGGGAGTGGCAGTGCAATACCAAGACTGAGGAGGTATGAGATTTACCCTTCTAGAGAGTCTCATACTGGAAGGACTCTAATGATCCACAAGGCTAATACTGGTCTGAGAGAGGATGGAGAAATCAAAGAGGAGAGAACTGTCCCCTCCACAAATAATCACTGGTCCAGGCTCATAGATGAGGAGGGATTAGAGCAGGAAAACTGGCAGGATAGTCAGAGCCAGTACTTTGGAAGCTAGAGAAACTCTTGACTGATCCTCAGCAGGGAAGGACTACCACTAGCATCAGGGATGTCTCTGGTGCTATCAGAAGAAGACTGGTATCTATCACTATTGACAGAGACCACATTATCCTAGGAAAACAATTTTTCATCTGGCAGCAACACCACTTTATGGCTTTCTCAGGAAAAGCTAAAATATCTGAATCCATAGAGATTCCTGATTTGGTGACCATTTATCAGACAACTACCACCTGATAAAGCTGAAGGCAGTGGAGCCACTCCAGCAGCCTCAAAAGAAGAGGATGACCCTGAGACCATGGCTCAGGGCTGGACTATTCAAGATGGACACATCATGCAAAAGGAACCTCCTCCACTGGAAAGTCCTATTGCTGATGATGAGTCTCTACATTCATTCCCTGGTCTGCCATCAGGATAGGTGGATTCACCAGAGGGAGAACCTCTGAACCTGATGCCCCCTCTTGACCTCAAGGTGCAGATTTTAAATGTTAAGCTGATTCTTGTATGTGACTCACTCCCCTTTAAGAGGGCATCCAACAATATTGATCAATTCCTTATAAACTGCAATCAATACTTTCAAGTATTCACCTCGTACTTCCTACTTGACATGTACAAGGTAATATATGCCTCCACCTATCTGGAGGAGAAGATGAAGACATGGTGGGTCCTTCTCACCCCCTCATTCTGGTCAATCATATGACAACATCACCAGTATCTCTTGTGGCTAGTATTCAAACAAATGATTCATGACAAGTTCATAGATCCAGCCATCCAGGAAGTCCACAAGTGTTACAATTTTTCCTATTTTTCTTCCTTTTTCTTCTCTTTTTCCTCAGAAGTGACCCCTATCTTTGCTTAGTCAGAGTGCTTGGCCAGCGCTTATGACCATGGGAACGCTTAGCTCAGCAGCCCAAGTCGGTCATTCTCCTGTCACACTGCTGTGAGCTGTGAAGAGAGAGACAATGCCCTTTTTGTCCTCAAATTGCAGTGCACGACCATAGCTCCACAGCAAGACAACAGCTTTTTGTGGAGAACCTGGCAATGGTAGGGGAAACAGCTCTACAGCAGACAATATCTTTTGTGAACAGTTATTTATAGTGCAACAGCTAAACAGTATTTAAGTAGCTTAGTTCTCGCTGTAACACCCCAGTCTCGAACTAAAGTTTATCTTCACCAAACTACTCTCAAGCTCTTGCTACTTGAGCCTTGACTCACTGCCACTATTAACTCTTGTGAACTCAGTCGGACATACCCAAAAGTCGAGGTACCAAACTGTTTATCACATGTTGATAGTCACATGAAACTTGGGCTTAACAATTAGTTCGAGACTTTCTCATTCCCTTTCTCAAGCCCAATTGTGCTGAGAAACTGAATGCCCCCTGCCCTTGATCCCTCCAACCCAAACTTTACCCACGAGTTCTTTGAACTCTTGGCATCTATTATAGGAATCTTGATCGGTCTTCTGGTGATCATACAGCTGTGCCATAGACACCAATCAATTGTAGCTTGGACAATCAGGCACTATCATGAATTCCAACACATTCGAACCATTCTCCGCAATGTCACACCAGACCTCCCCCTCCACAACATCCCTACCTCTGCCCGACAGTCTTTCCGACCCGCTGAAGGAACCGACCCAGAAAGTGTCTCTGGGAGCTCAGCTCAAGGGCGTGCTAAGGAAGAAGAAGAGGAGCAGTATCAGCAGCACACATACCCTCCGCGACCCCCAACAGCAGTTGTCCGAAACCCTGACAACCCTTGGGCTGCAGGGTTTCGACGACCCAGACCCAACACCCCCATCCCATCCCCCCAGCACAGTATTGCAGCAACCAGGCCAGCAACCCCTGTCTCTAGCACCGGCCTTGGGCACCGTGCTAGAGACTCTCTGGATGTCCCACAGATGGCTCAAGGAACCAGTGGTTCCAGGGGCCGTGGGTCCTGACATACCCCATCTACATGACACAGCAGCATTAACGGCAGAAACGACGATTACTGGCATGATGACAGCAACGAGCATCACTGGTGGCGAGCTGCTGCCACTGAGGCCGACAGGCTGGAGCACTGCCCAGCTGGCAGTAATACTAGCAGAACAGAAGGCGTACGAACAGTACCAAGCAGAACATGACCAGCCAGCCCTGTTGTCATGGGTCCCTCGAGAGAGAACCTGGTACGATGTGCCCGAGACCTTCCCAAGTATAGGCAGGACCAGGCACATATCGACAATGAGATTATGAGAGAGAACGCCCTCTTTGGGAGATACCTCCGGACATGAGCAGCAGAGGAGTGTAGAAGAGGCAAGGGAGGTAGTAGGACCACAACCATCGTCGGAACCACCATGCCCGGCTCGCCTTTCAGGGAACCTGCCACTCCCACCAGTGAGTCCGACCCCTGGGCTGACTACTAAGAAGAGACCCAGCCCCACCTCGACGACAACCATCCACTATCTTACAGGACCGATACTATTGCAGAGATGGAGGACATCCCAGTCCAGGAAGATGGGATTCCAGCCGAGAGAGGCACCATTGGGGGAGATGACAAGGGTATTGACTCCACCGGCGATCTCAAAAGGTTCCTTGATGGGGCCTTCACAGCCCTTTTCCTCAACCCAAAGTTTTACAGAAACTTTCATCGGTATCGCAGAGCAATGGCGCTGAGAACAACAAGCATCGAGGAGCTGCCAGAGCAGCCTGAATGACAGCCTGCTCCTCACCCTGGACCCAGTGACGCCGGACCCAGCACACAGCCCCAGCCCAACCGAACCAGCAGTCTACGACCTGCCCATCAGTTCCCTCCTCGAGGATGAGGAGGGAACCGACGTGGACGACGAGGCCGAGGAGGCCAACCCCCATCAGAAGGGCAGGGACCTGCTCTCTAGCTGGACAGAGAAATTCAAACCCATGACAGAAGAAGAACTACAACGGGAAGCGCGCAAGGCCAGGGAGGAGGAGTTTACTCGGCTGTACCAAGAGCAGGTAGCTGAGTTGTGGAAAGATGATCTTTGGCTAAGATCGTCCTTAGGACAAAGGTATACCTTTGCGGACTTTATCGAGAAAGACGAGATTTTACAGTATGCAGCCACTGAGCAGGCCATTTTCAATTTTAATCAAAGATATTCACATTATCAGATGGGACCATTGCCACTATACAAGCCAAAGTATGGCAGAAGAATGGCACCAAGAATGTGGACGCTGAGTGTCATGCCAAGCAAAATGGCAGACACGGCACCATCGATCCGAACGGCATCCTCCCAATACTCATTCGCTACATCCGCCATTTGCAGTATGGCATCTCGGCTTGCCAGAAGCTGACCACAGGCAGCCTGGCACCACCCTGAATCATGGAGGCTGCTGCCCTTCCTGCGACCCTTTGCTGGACAGCTGCCCCCGAATGAAGTGGAAGGCAGTGAAGCCCCAGTACCAGAGCTGTCTCTCTCAACTGAGGACGACCCTGAGGCACTCGCCCAGGGCTGGACTATTAGGAATGGGAGGATCATGCGGAAAGAAGCCCCCAAGCCAGGAAGCCCTATCGCTGATGACGGATCTCTCCATTCCTTCCCAGGGCCTCCAAAGGGATGGGTGCAACCACCTCATGGCAGACTCCCGAACCCGATGCCCACTCTCGATGCCGCTGCTCAAATCCTTCAAGTCAAACCAATTCTTTGTGCTGAGCCCCACCTTTTCAGAGGGGCATCCGATGACATTAATCAATTTCTGGTCAACTGCAACTAATATTTCCAAGTATTCGCCCTGTACTTCTTAGCCGACATGTACAAGGTAATGTTCGCCATTACCCATATGGCAGACAAGGCCAAAGTGTGGTGGGTTCTGATTGCCCCCACTTTCTGGTCTACCACCAGGGACCATCATTGATACCCCACATGGCCGGTCTTCAAACAAATGATCAGGGACAAATTCACGGACCCAGCGGTCCAAGAAGTCCACAAGCAGAAGATGAAGGAGTTCAAGATGGCCGGAAAGCCAGCCACAGACTACTTCGACGAACTAGAATGACTCAGCACGCTTGCTAGAGTCCGGGAGGATGTTGCCGACACAGGATGAATGGTCAAATACATGAAAATGGGACTACTATCCCATTACCTCATAACTATTTCGGATATCGGCCAGGACATTCCTGTCAGCTACGATGAATGGAAGAGCCGAATTATCACTATGTACAAGGAATGACAGTAGCAGAAGGCAGAAGCGACTACTTTGGCATATGGCCATCAGAGTCAGAGACAAGGCCCGAAGCCTTTCACCTCCAGTATGACCACATCTGCCAAGCCTGGTGGCTTGGCCCCAACTTCTTATGGAACGAAGCAAACCGGTACGGGCACAACATATACCAGAACGGGTCAGCCGATGGACGTGGATCGTCTCAAGAAGGGGGGGAAGTGTTTCAACTGCAGCCAGAAGGGCCACATGGCACGAAACTGTCCACAGAAGAAGAACAAGCGCACGAGGGAAGAAATTCGGGTGCAGATTACTGAGCTGATGAAGGAAGACGAAGACCTCAGGCACAAAGAGAAACCTGAGGAGGTAAAAGATGGGGCCGAGCAATAGGTGATTCGATTGTCTCAGCCAAGGACAAGAGTAATGGGTCCCCTTCTGCTGGACAGATTAATATTTCTTCCCCTGTAGTATTACCACCTATGCTTAAATTATGTGTGCATTCGAATATACCCGACTCCATTACTCAGAACCCAGAATCACCTCGAGAACCAACTCCAGTAACTCAAGTGCTGACGAAGGGCCGAAGAGGGGCAGAGAGCCCTAAAGGTGCATCTTCATCAGAAGTTCATCAAGCTAAAAGAATAATAAAAAGGACTCAATTGCCTTTGGACCAAACAAGGGTAGAAAACCCCACAACATGGCTTAAGCCATTTGATACCAAATGGACTTGGTGGGCCATTCAAGATGCTAAGAATGAAGAAGCGGTGAAAGCCATACTTAAAAACTGGGTACACAAGACCTGAGCCGAGGAAGTGATCGATGAGATGATTACCAGGATGAAGGCCACGAAAAGGTGTCGAGCCCTGGAATGGTTGGATGAATTACATGGACCATGGAAATTCATTCGACGAACTAAACTTTCAGGGCACGACTTGTTAACCAAAGCCCAGATCAAGATGTTAACGTCCTGATCAACCCATGCAGTTACCACCTTAATCGACAGCAGCTGCACGGGAAGTAGCATCAACCAAGCTTTTGTCAACAAGCACAAATTACCTACCAAAGCAACAGCAGCCCCCATTCCCATCTATAATGCAGATGGGACCAAGAATCAAGCTGGGTCGATTACCGAGTATGTTGAGCTCCAGCTCACCATCGGTGATCATTCGGAAAGAATCGACTTGGCGGTGACAGATCTCAAAACCAAAGAGATCTTCCTCAGACATGATTGGCTGATTAGACACAA